AAGCAACCTAAGTGTCCATCAATAGATGAATGGGCAAAGATGTGGTATACAATGAAATATTATTTACCTATAAAAATGAAATCTTGCCGTTTGTGACATGGACAGACCTAAAGGATATTATGCCAAGTAAAAGAAGTCAGAGAATGACAAGTACCATATGATTTCACTTAAATGTGTAATCTAAAAAAGAAAATGAACAAACAAAACAGAAACAGACTCACAAATACAGAGAACAAACTGGCAGGTTGCTACAGGGGAGGAGGGATGGGGGTTGGGCGAAATAGGTGAAGGGGATTAAGAGGTATGAATTTTGTTATAAATTAAGTCATAGAGATGAAAAGTATGGCATAGGGATATTATTGACTATTCAATGATACTGTAATAATGTTCTATGGTGACTACACTTACAATGGCAATCACTTGTAATGTATAATTGTTGAATCAGCCTGCTATACTATACATCTGAAACTTATGTCAACTGTACTTCAATTTAAAAAAGGACTTAAAAACAAAAAGAGGTAATTCAAGACTTAAATCACTAAAAAATTCACTCCATTGTGCCAATGTACCATAATCTGTGCATCATTAATCTTAGGGACAGTATCTACCAAGACAACTGTGCAAAAAAATCCAGGGATAACGTGACATAAATGATATAATGAAAAGAATTATATATATGAGAGGGAAGAGATAAGAGTAAATATACTGATGAATTGCTGAGCTACAAGGAGGAATTGTTTATTTCAAATGCAGTGTATTCTTTAACATTAAAAATAAGCATCAGGGGATTAGGGCATAAGTCAACAAGAAGGATTATTAAATTTTGTACATCAAGGAAAATAGAAGAGTATTTTTTTAAGTGTCATGGGTTTTAAGATACACTTTCAAGAAAATTACTGACTAAATAAGGAGGAACTAAAGAGAAAATTAGAAAAGAATATTTTGATTATTTTATAGGATAGTAAAAGCATGGGTTAGAACTAATTTCATTCATTTCTCTTTTTTAAAAAAGATTTATTTATGAGAGACAGAGAGAGAGAGAACGGTGGGGAAGGGCAGAGGGAGAGGGAGTCACAAGCAGACTCCACACTGAGCACAGAGCCCAATGCAGTGCTTGATCTCACCTCCGTGAGCTCACGACCTGAGCCGAAACCAACAGTTGGACGCTTAACCGACTGCGCCACCCAGGCACCCTCATTTCTCCCTTTTTAAAGTCAAACATCAATAGCTAAAAAAATAAAGTCAAAATTTGAGATCCTGAAAAAACTGCTGAAGAGATCTGAGTAAGATACAGCTTTTGATACCAGTCGACTGTGAGTTCCTCAGGAGTGGAGACAGTGAGTTCTCATCTGTGCCTCTGCACAGTGAAAAGACTGACATAGCTAGGGAAGAAACTGCTAATTACAATAATAAACAATAGTTGTAACATACTGAAATTTAACATTCTTTCCTTATGGTGTGTGTGTCGGGGGGGGATATGATAGACGGCTATTTGAAATAAGTAGGACAGTATTTGAGAACCAGGTTTTTACAAACTCTTCTTCTAAATAGACATTTCCCCCAACTACAAATGCTGTTTCTTTCCCCACACTTACTTTATTTGAATGGACGAAGAGGGCTTAAATGACGCTGTCACACTAGGCTGGTTCTTCTTGGCTTTCACCAGAAAATAATCTATTTAAAATATCTTTGGTAATTACACTTTATTATATAGCTATTTCCTCCTGCCTCAGATCTTCTCTTCACAATATCTTTTCTCTTCGTGGAATGATTCCTCCGAAAATCATTGTATTAATCTTTTAAACAGTTCTGTGAGGATTTTAAATGGGTTATTGTAGATTATCTGCTTTCAATGCAGTGTCAGAGTAAAATATCACCCGTCTAGAGCTTCAACCTGTATCACAAAGAGTTGGCCTCATCATGAGGAATCTTTTTTTGACTTCCTTGGATATTCGGCTAGTTTGGGAAAGAGAGAGGAGTGTTAACAAAAGAGGAGGCTGCCTTTTTGCTTGTTCCAGGCAGGGTTAGGGTATCCAGTGGAAAGGGGTTTCTTTCTAGTTTTCCTAGTCTCTGGGTTACTTCGTGCCTTTCCTCAGAGGCTCTGCACTGTCCCAGGTGCTGCCGCTCAAACACAGTATCTTCCACATTGTAGATCTTTAGTAAACATTGGACTGAAATCAAGTTCACCAGAACAAAAGGGGTACAAGTTACTTTATCCAGAAATTCAGATCTCCGGAACTTGTGGGTGTAGGAGGGGGAGGAATCAAGGCCCACAGACAGGTGTTAGAAACATACAAAGAATGACAGCCAGATGTTATGTGCCTCCTGATGGAAGAACATGATACCACCTAGCAAGAATCCATTCGCTAAGAACAGAACTTGTAAGATCAGCCTTGGGATCAGGGTTTCATAACCCCGGCACTGCTGACGTTTTGAACCAGATAATACTTTGTGGTGGGGAGCTGTCCTATATATTGTAAGATGGTTAGTTAGTGGCATCCATAGCCTCTACCTGCTAGATGCCAAAAGCACCTCTCTGCTTGTGACAACCAAAAATGTTTTCAGATATTACCAAATGTCTCCTGGGTGCCAAAAATCACCTTTGGTCTAGGGCTTTTTGCTGCTGAATCTGGAAGTCGGGGACAGATTAACCTGTTACATGTCACTCCAGCGATCACATCAACAAAGGTCAGAATGTAGAACACAGGACAACCTAGTTTTTTTCAATAAATAAACTGTAAGGCAAAAAGCCGGGGGGAGGGTGCAGAACTCAAAGATGAAGAGACTTATGAGAGTGCCAATCAAATGCAGGTGTGGATCACGCCGGACGTCTGGAGCCTCATCAAACAAAGCCGTGTAAGGAAAGCACTGGAGACCAACTAGGGAATTTCCAACAGCATCTTGATATTTAGGTTTCAGAATTAATTCAGGAGAATCTCTTTCAGATGTATATACTAAAATATTTATAAATTCTGCTTCAAAGTAATTTGTGTGGGTGGGGGTGTGAGTGGGGGGTTGCGATGATGGATAAAATGAGATAGGGTCATAAGTTAATGACAAAAGTGAATGATGAGGTTCGTGACAGTCTTTAATTTTTGCACGTATGACATTTTTCATAATTAAAGAAGGAAGCGTAATAGTGATAAAGAGCATAACAAAAAGCAGCAAAAAAAAAAAAAAGGGTGATGTTCAGCAAGAATCACTATTCTACCATTGGAATGGATGGTTCAAAGGGAATTAAATTCCCAAGACCTTTTAGGTCCAGAGTGATCTAGTCAAATAGCTTCCTAACGAGAGTAAAATATACAGTGTAAGTTGGTCCAGTCTATATTTAAACAGTGCTACTAGCTGCCTTTTATTAGTACTTGAGTGTCACATTAATCACCCTAATTTCAAATGTTTTATAAATATTACTATTTTAGAAGCACTTTAAAGATAAGAATAAGTCTGTACTTAGCACCTTCTCAGAAAGCATTACACACTATCATTTTAATTTGACTTTTTGTGTCAAATTAAATCCATATGAAGTGGATGGAACAAAGAAGACCATTTTAGGGCTAGTTTTGTTGGTCTTTAGAGGGCTGGGACCAAGGGCACACCATACCAAAGGCACACCATACCAAGTGCTTTCTAATTTTAACCACAGTACTTAAGAAAAAAAGAACAAAGGAATACAACTTAGCGGAAGTACTCATTTTTTATAAAAATGTGTTTTATTTTAAAACAGGTCTATAAAAGTAGAAATCACATACAAAAATACAGATTACTCTGACATGTTAGCAAAATAGCTTATGGCTAGACTTGAGTTTGGAAGTACTGTATGTTTGAGGGCATCTGGAAATCACAGTCCAAATGGATCCTACTATCAGCCCCGTCACTAATCTGTAAACAATAATTTCATGTAGTATATTTAGCACTTTTTAAACTAGCACAAAATTGAAACATAATCATTTCCCGTATAATGCCACTTTAAAATGTTCTTCCTTAGGCCTGAGCGGATCAGGGCACTTCATATCATTGTTTCTAACATTTGAAAAGTCTGATTTAAAAACAATGTTAATAGAAAAACAGGTTTTGGCTCTTTTTGTTCCATTCTGAACCTATGGGAAGGTCATCAATTTAAAGATAGTAGTGTTTTTTTTTTTAAGTAGAATTTAATCCGTTTTCTTCTAGACACCATTAAAAAAAAAAAAAATCACTGTTGCTATCCAAAGATTCCACACCTGAGTCTTAACTTTTATGTAGTTTCAAGTTGTCTTTTACTGCTTTGGAACTCACACCTACTTCGAGGGTGTATTTCTGAGTAAACGAACACGTAGTTCTCAGGGAACTCTAGGTCCAGGAACTTTAGACAACAATGACTTTCAAACAATTATTGTGGGAGACAATTTTTTTTTTAAGAAGGCAATTTAAAATACTTGATTCCAGAGTAACATAAAAATAACTTGAAGAACCTTGGCAATAAAGGAAAATGGCAGGCAACTTCAGTTTGGCATTCCAGCCAACATTTCAAGAATGAAGACTGGCTACTACCACCTTTCTAAAACACAGTGAGTCATCTTAAAAGCTAAAGAACCCACGTTAGCATCATTTGATCATAAAGTCAGAAGACCACAGTTATAGTTCCTCAGCTAATTCGGAATTCTGGGAGCACAGCACATGAAGGAAACTTCGATACTTCAGATTAACCCGTCATAGAAAATTGCCTCTTGAGCCTTCAAATGCTGTACCAATTCTTTACTGCTGATTGGTTAGTTGTTTTTCATTTAGGTTTTTTGTTTCCATGAACCTAACTTCAAATCTAAAGGCAAAGTTGAAAGGTCTATTTTTCCCTCTCCAGAAGAGATTGCCAAAATGCTACTATCCTAGATTCTCCTTTTGTTCCGTTCACAATACAAATACTTCTACCAATCTACGTCTCATAAAGCAATACTGAGAAATTAAATAGAAGAAAGTTACCATATAGATCATGAAAATGATTTGCTGGTGGTGATTCTTACGCTTGATTCTAAATAGATTGAAAAACAAGGGCACTTGAAAGAGGTGGCTCAAATCTTGCTGCTTAAGGTATCCTGAAATTAATAGGCTCTCCTAAAATTCCAAAAGGCCTTAAACTTAGGCTCTTAAGTGCACTAGAAGCAGTGACCAGAGCTTTTCTGGTTATTCAGAAAAAGCAAAACTTCATAGTTTTCGCTCTCAAACGGTCATCTAATATACTTGCAGAAGGAAGGCAAAGGGAAAACCAAGAATAAAAATAGCCGAGTGCTCCAGCAAGCGGGCTTCCTGCCTATTTGCCCTGTTCCAAAGAAAAGAAGGGACACCACCCTGCAATAAATACTTCATAGACAACTGGGCTTCTGCAGCGTCAGCCGGCATCTGATGCCCCATATCTCCTGGTTCTTTTTGTTGCCCGTGGTCGGCCTGGCGATGCTGGTGAAATGGGAGCTATTAATCTGTAGATGAGGAAGGGCTTCTTTTAACAGCTGAAGGGTACCGTCTGGCACGATTCCAAAAACTTGTAGTGTTTTTAGTGTGGGAATTTCTCCAAGTTCACTGGAAAGGAGAGAGACCTTTCAGAGTAGCAGTATCTATGGTGACTGATCCACTAGAGTTACATGACCCAATTTTGACCATTTGTATCCTAGTCTATAGAATGCAAACTGAAAACAGAATTTGCAATCAATGATCTGAGAAAATAGCAAAGGCAAGTCAAACCAGAAAGCACAGACCACAGCTCGGACAACACAGCCTTGGGACCCACGCAGGCGCATTTTGTTAAATGTTTTCTCACCACCTAAACACTCTTGAGGTTTATTTAAAATCCAACCATAGTTGTTTCCCTTCTCCATTCTTGATTTAAATTGAGAGGAGTTACCGTGTGATGAGAAGCTAGAAGCTAGTGATGGTAAAGAATCATCACAGGTTACGTGTAATTTCAAAGCACGGACTTGACCTTTGTTTGAACTAGTCTCCTCTTCTCAAAAGATGAGCAGCAGAAGTTAAGGTAACTTCTTAGTAAGTCCATCACCTGTGATAAAACCTAACAGCAACTTTGCTAAGGTACTTTAGATAGGGCTATGTAGCTGGGTATAGATGGAGAAAAGGAGTAACTGGTCACACCTTTTATACGAGAGGCAAAAGCCATCTGACTTCTCTACATATTACCTTTTTTTTTCTTTTTGGGTCACGTATATGCCAATCCTCTTCTCAGCTATTTCCCATTAAGTGAAATACGACTCTGTCAACAGTGACATTCTGGTCCACAAAAAAGGGAGCCTGTTTCCCCAAAGTAAATACTTTTAGGTAATGATTCTTTCTTCTTTTACTCAGATCTATGTGCTTAGAAATTCATCTCTCTGATCTGTATTTGCTCCAGGTTGGGACACACAGTACAAAGTCTTAGGAAAGGGAATATTTAGTTTGGAATATCAACAAAATCCCACTGCAGATCAATGAACACATCAAAGACCTAGCGTTAGAAGCATCCTTTATATTTTCATATTGCCAATAATTACTAAAAAGAAAACCCCAAACTTTCCTCATAGTAACTGTTATCTGGCCTCCAATCTTTCTTCTTTCCAGCCTATTCTATATACCAACGTCCAAGGCATTTTCCTAAAGCCTAGCTCAGCTTATGTCACCCCTCCACCCCCTCTCCCCGCCACAAGCCTTTGATGCTGCCCTCATGTTTATGGAACTCAAACTGTTCTGTTGGCCTTAGGACTTTCCACGTTCAACCCACTCTCCCAGTCACCCCACTACCCCCTAAATGTATTTATTCCACATTCAACAAGTGTATTAAACACCACAGATGTTTAATACATGTTAGCTGAATAAAGATGAAGGGTAACTCAGAAAATAAAAGTACTATCTAAATAAAATAAATACGCTTGGTGTTCATAAAAGGACAATAAGATCTGGAGGTTACAATAGACAAAAAAAGAAAATCAGGAAGAACAAAGTACTGTTCTTCCTAAAGTAAACTAAGCTCTGGAATACAGAAACAGGAGTGCAGAGAAAGGCTGCAGCACGTAGGTGTTTATATTCAACATCACTTACGATGATAGCAATTCTGCCCCAACCTTAAATCCCTCTTCTGTGAAATCTGAGTATTTGAGAACTTTGTAATGAGAATCTGGGTGCTGGGATATGTGAATCAGCCAGACCGTAAGTCATTCTACGGTGGACAGTATCAGACAGTATTAGAAGCAGACGCTGTAGGTGGGAGTGAGGAAAGGATGTAGAGCAGACAGAGCAGAAGAAATGTTCTCACAACAGCGCTGGGAAGGAGTCTTGGTGGGCGTAAGGAAATGACAGCAACACTCTCAGAAGACACTGAGGTGTCCTAGGTGAGAAAGGAGTGAGCTGCATACCATGGGATGGTGGGCGATCCAAGTGAAAAAGCCAGAACGTCCTTTAAAATTTTAAGGAGACAAAACAAAAAAAACACTGAAAGCCCCTTAGTACATGTGTCATCTACAACACAACAGAACAAATTTATAAGCATCTCTTTAGAATGAAGAGCAACCAAAGGACAGTAAATAGCAATGAATAGTTGAAGAGCCACTATTTCCAATTTAAGAAGTATAAAAGGACACTGATAATGTCTTGCGTATCTTTATTTCATCTGAGTCAACAAAAGATATTTATAGACCCTTTCACAGGTTCACACCTTACCTCAACTACACAATCCTGTTTTCCTTATAAAATCTTGTAAATGCCTAACTACAAATTCTCCTACCACAGACTTTTTATTTAGTCTCTCCTAATCTCAGATCAGTTTATTATCTCCAGTGTGGCTTTCTTACTTGAACGAGAGATACGGAATAATCAGAAGAAAGTTTGGACATAGGGAATAAGACCAATTCAGGCCAAAGGAAACAGATACAATGCAGACATATCCTGTAGAAGAAAAACCTGGAGTTTCCCAAGTATTCTAAAGCACTAGTATTACAGAAGAAAGTCGCTCAAATTTTATTTTCCCACTTCTGAGAAATAAAAATTCTTCAGCATAAATGGCTTTCTCAAAATTACTATTGAGGATCCTAGAATTCTTACTATGAATTTCGAGTACATCATCTGCCAGAATGGAGTTAGAGAAAATAATGCTTTATCTTACGAAACTTCTAAGGATAGGGTGTAGGCAAACTCATCTTCATGGGTTCATGAGGTTAACTAGTGTACTATTTACATAATGCCTGAAGAAACATACTCTTTTACATTAAAGTACAAGGAGAGCATCTTTTTTCTCTCTGTTTGCATTCTTTTTTGGTGGTCTGATTTGTAACTAAACTCCTGATGCCCGTGTTTCTCTTATTTCAAGATAAGGTTTAGACAAGTCACACCAAGGCAGTGAGGGTTCAAATGTAGGTGACTTGAGGTCCACCACCAACTCACACTGCCTGCAGGTAGGACTCCACAAGTGTCACTATCCTACTGAGTAAAAATATTAAAACCGTGAGAGCTCACAGCCTTCCCCTAGCCTCTGCTCAAGAAAAAACATTTGGGGATTACCTGCTTAGCTTCTTTCTCTGGAGGGAAAGAACAGAAGTGAGACATGGGGACAGATTCTCTTGAGAAAAGCAACCAAAAAAGACTGAAAAAGACTGATCACTGTAGTCCCCAGGGGCTGACAGGCAGTGAAGCCCAGATGGCAAGGACAGGAAAGATGGATGACAGAGACGCCTTTCTGGGCGGACGCTAGAGGCCCCTAGGAGTTCTGGATACGAGGGCACAAGATTTTAATGAGGGTTCCACGTATATGCGTTCACACCCTACCGTCTAAGAGCCATGGAGGTAAAGACTGGCGTCCCTTTTAGGCAGTGCTTTTTCAAACGAGATACCGGCTGAGTCCCTGAGCCCCAAGATTAATTAAAGTGATTAATTAAAAATGTTATTACTGGATTCTCTATCTCTAATTCTACTAGTTAACCCTGTATAGCTTACGTATCTGATTTATTAGTTCTTGAAACTAACTTAGAAGATCCAAACCAATCATTCAAGGACTACATAAATTCTTTGTTCAAATTCACCACCCTTCTTTGGTAGGAACGAGAAGCTAAATCCCCTTCATTTGAGGAGTGGACTACAAGAAGGCAGCAGCCTCGGTCAGGGCATACTGGCTGGAATAAGAAGGGCGCCTGGCCAAATTCAAGATACTGACTTCTTGTGGTTCTCAATAAAACTGCTATACCTTTACATCCTACATGAGGAAGGATTTTCCAGCCCGCTGGGGATAAAAGAAAGGAAAATAAATAGACAATGTTATTCCTAGGATGACTTGGGAATAGCACCTTCTAAAAGAAAGACCAGACTCCTTTTTGTACTCCCTTGATTTTGTGAAAGTTGCTGAGCAGGTACAAAATTAACCCTCATAAGAGCTACTGGATTAGCTACAGACTATTTTCATCTGTCCAGAAAACCTAGGATGCAGACCTAGCTCAGCCATTAACTTCCTTTATAGCTTCAGATTAAGTCACTTCACTCTTTTGGACTTCAGTCTCCCCCATTCCAAGATAGCACTGGACTCATGACATTTACCTTTTACATGATGCCATTCTTTGACCACCATCCTAGACAGACATCTCTAGAAGATTACAGAACTTTCCTCTCAGCCCAGAGGGTGCCCTTCAGAATCAACTGGAGTTGATCTGAAAAATGTGGGGGAGGGGGGGAAGCCCCCATTGGGTCTGCCTCCCCAGTTATACTCTGAGCTCCCTGGAGGTAAAAGTGGTCTTCTCCTTTTGCAAGTCTTCCAGATACTAGAGTATGGTATTCTAATATTTAAACCTGCTTCTAGCTAAATAATGTTTAGTAAACTATCCCAGTCAACTTTCCAAGATATTTTAGGCAAAGAATTTTTACCTTGGTTTTTCTGTTTTGCTGGACTTCCCTAACCTATTTGTGGTACACCAATATTGATGTTCAAGTTTTATTTATTTTTTAATTTAAATTTAATTAGCCAACATATAGTACATCATTAGTTTCAATGTAGAGTTCAGTGGTTCATCAGTTGCATACAACGCCCAGCGCTCATCACATCATGTGCCCCCCTTAATGCCCGTCACCCAGTGACCCCAGGCCCCCACCCACCTCCCCTCCAGATGTTCCAGTCTTAAGCATCTCCTATTAATAATAACAGATATTAACACCAAGTGACATCTCTTTTGTTCCCTGTCTTCTCCTACTTTTAGAAAATGAAAATACTTACAGTAAGGTTTCAGGTATTATATCATAGCACCGACTGAGTGAGAGATGTTGGAGGTAGTTGAGCTGGTAAAATTCTGGAAAGCAGTCGTTCTTCAGCATGACACTATCGCTGGAACAGAGCAGAAGAGAAGATTCAAAACCTATGCATCAGTTCAGATGGAGAAAACAGAAATAACCAACCGCTTGGTTCCTTCAATTCAACATGTTAAGATGCTTTCCTCCTTCAATGAGCAGTCATGATTTTTCAATTTTTGTTTTAAAATAAATAAACGAAAAAAAAATACCTTAAGTCTAGGTGGACAAGATTGGGGCATCTTCCAACTAAAGTAGAGACATCTAGGAAAAAAATGATGGTCACTATTAAATGAAGAACAAGACAAGGATATCTGCTATCAATGCCATCATTTAACTTTGTGCTAGAAGCTTTTGGAACAATGAATGCAATTAGAGTCACACTATTAGAAATAAAACACAAAATCATCACCTTGGCATATAAAATTTTGAACCCAGAAAATCCAAGAGAATCCACGGGAAATAGTAAGAGAACTGTGTAATATGATAAGTTAATAACAATCCACAGCTTATCTATGTATCTGCAATACCTAGCTGGGGAAAAAAGAAAAAAAAAAAAATCCTACCCACACTAGCAAAATGCAAAACCAAACACCATCGTCTATAAACAAATATTGTATTATAAAGGTAGCACTTAAAATCAATGGGGGAAATCATGGATTATTTTAAAAAATGACATTGCTACTACAAGCAGAAAGAAACTTGTTTCTCCCACTCAAATAATATCTCCAAATAAATTCCACGTATATTATAAAGTCCTAAAATGCAAAAAATATAGGGTAATTTTTCATTGGATCTTGGATAAGTAAAGGATTTTCTAAACATAAAGGAAAACACAAAAAAAACACTGATAATTTACTACATAAAAATTTTAAGTCTACCATGTTAAAGCAAAAAAACAACATAAAATTCAAGACATATCAGAAAACTGGGAATGTTTCCAAGATACGTTAAACAGAGTTAATGGTCTTATATGAAGAGTAAAGAAAGATAAACATAGAAAATGGGCAAAGAATATGAAGCGATACTTGGCCAAACAGAGAAATATGGAGCAAGAAAGGCAAAATAAAATTAAAATATTGCTTTGCAGCTATCAAATGAAAAAAAATTCTATCATAATATCCAGAATTGATGAAATATAATAAAGCATGTCCCACATATACTACAAATGCATATTTAATTTTATGTAGCCTTTCAGGGGAGCAAACTGAATTTTTTTTGGGGGGGTGAACTGATTTTTTGATGTGTTCTGAACATTTTACACTTGACTCTGACTCAGTAATTTCACTTTTAGAAAAACAAAGGTGTGCATGAAGATACTCATTTTAGCAACAGTTATAATAGTCCCTTCCCCAATTATTTCAATTCGTTAACCTCCATCCATTCTGTGGAACACAATACCAATGGCAGTTACTCTAAAGCTTTTAAATAACATTTCATGACATGAAAAGTACTCAAGATATATATTGTATAGAGAAAACAAAATATATACAACGCCGTATAATCTCAATTTAGTAAAAATACACTCAAAAACTCGTATCTATATACAAACTCACAGAGAGAAAAAGGTTCATAGGGTTGGGGGTAGGAGGGGAAGGCTGGAAGGAAATACATCCAAGGGTGGTAGGATTACAGGTAACTTTTCAGAATTTGTAAGAGTCACATGTGCTACTTTGTATTCAGAAAATGAATCAATAGGGGCTCCTGGGTGGCTCAGTTGGTTAAGTGTCCGACTCTTGATTTCGGCTCAGGTCATGACCTCAGGGTCGTGAGGTCAAGGACCGCCCCTGCCCCCTCTTAAAAAAAAAAAAGAAAATCAATCAATAAATGTTATTTATTTTTAAAAATAAACAAGCTTCATTCATGGTTGGGGTTTTTTCTTTCCACAGTTCTGTCTTCAGCCCCATTCCCTCCCCTGGATCCTAGGCTTGCATTTTAAACTGTCTCCTCAACACATCCACTGTGATGTGGGACAGGCATCTCAAATTCATGCCTAAAAACAAATATTTCATTTCTCTTCTAAATCTGGTTCTTCCCTGTCTCCAAGAAAGTGCTAACGTCACCGGTCCAGCTGCTCAGGCCGAAACCCTGGGAGGCACACTCGACTGTTCTCTCACGTCCCACACCCAGTCTGTTGGCTTGTAATGTCTGATCATTTCTTACCACGTCCCATGTCACCCCCCGAGTCTCTTACAGCCTTTTCGCAACACAGCACTCGACGACTTTCAAAGGGGCATCAGATCCTATCATTTCCTGCTCAAAATGCTGTCGTGGCTTCTCATCTCACTCAGAAAATCCGAACAAAGCTTCTGCCTTGACTCAGAGAATCCTGGGCTGTCCTACCTCCTACTGTGTGCTCCTTGCTCCCTCTCACACTGGCTCCCACGTCAAGGCCTTTGCACTTGCTGGTCCCAGTTCCAGAGCGTTCTTTCCTCACTTATCTATACAGCTCACACCTTCACTCAGTCAGGCCTCTGCTCAGGTGTCACTTTCAGGGAGAGGCCCTCTCTTTGGCCATTCCATCTGAAAACAGCCCCCCTCTGGCCAATACTCTGCCTGATCTCTCTGCTCCATTTTTCCTCCCTGCATTTCACCTCCTTTCATCACATTTAGTTATTTGTGGGTTGCCTGGATCCCTGCCCCCAGGGTGTAAGCTGCACAGCGGTGACTTCATTGGTTTTGTTCAAGGCCACAGCTCCCAAGTCGGGAACAGGGCTTTGTGCATCGTAGGTGCTCAATAAACACTGGTTTAATGAGTGACTAAAAAATGAAGAAGTGGACAGTACAATTTTGAGCAAGCCATCACCTAGCCAGCCCAACAGCCATCTCCCAAATCCCCAGTTAGATCCAATCTCATTTTGATGCCACCCAGGAAAGAACAAAACCTTGGGGGGTAGAACTGGTTAGTCTCCAGCCCTCACTTGAGCCCTGGCGTCCCTCAGTGGAAAGGGTTAGTAAACAGTAGTCACTGCTAAGAGTCCCTCTACACGCTGTCCCCTTCATTTTGCCACGAGCTGGAGATCTACCTGAGACACAAGGCATCTTACAAACCCCCAAATCTAACCTGTCATTTTAAGGAGGGAGGCGATGTCAAATCCAAGACCAAGAGCTGGTCCTCCAGGACCCCGGACTGTGCTTCCCGACTGCCCCGTGGGGCTGGCAAAAATAACGGGGACGATCACCACACACTCACTAGGGTTAACGCGCTCCATGGGATTCACCCACTTACTCCCTACTACCACTCTAAGAGATGGCTTCCACTCCTATCTCCATTTTACTGATGAGGAAACTGAGGAACAGGGAAGTATAGCAACTTGCTCAAGACTACCCACTAAACAGCAGAACAGGAACTTGAACTGGGTGGACTGGCACCAGTCTAGGAGCTAAAAGGACATTCATATTATCTTCTAAATAGTGAAGAAGTGGGTGCCACTGTTAAAGACATTAAAAAAATCTCCGATTCCCACTGTATTACTAAGAATACACACACTCCAACTTAAAACTCCAGATCTTAGTCCTTGCCCTGAATGTGTCCAGCAAGCAGGATTTGATTACCTGTTATTCTTGCCAGAGCTTGGTAAAGAGGCTCTCTATTCTTTTCTGGAGGAACAAAGAGAAGAGTTTTAAGCCAAACTTGGACAGATTAACAGCAGCTTGCCCAAAGCAGAATTTCTCAACCTTGCACCTAGAGCCTAGTTTCATTCAGAAAAACTCTCAATAAAAAATTGGGAAATTCAGATATGGGAAGGAAGTGTCAATGAGGCACTGCCTTTTCTCGGCTTGGGGATGAACAGGGAAGAACCGGCGGTGGGATTTGATGTGAAGAGGCTGCTCACTGGTGGGAGCTGAAAATCCTTGGAAGGCAATTTGGTAAGAACGACCCAAAGCTTAAGAACAGAGCCTAATCCTTGACTTGGCAATTCCACTTTTAAGAATCTACCCTGAGAAATGCACTCAAGATTTGTCTCTGTCCATGACAAGGTTGTTTACAAAAGGAAAAAAACTGGAAAGACTCTAAAAGTCCATTACACGATCAAGTGAAAAAAATTATTATTGAATCCATACAAATTATTCCGTATCTATTTCATGGAATAACACATAGCCACCGAAAATGATGTGGTGTAGCTACTAAAAATGGGATTATCGGGGCGGCGGGGGGGAAGCATACTACAAAGTATTTCAAGCACTATGTCCCACTTTAAAAAACACTTTTATGCAGGAAAAAGACCAGCAAGAGGTTAGTGAGATTACTGCTGTTTTGTTTTTCTTGGTATTTTTCCATATTTTATGTATTTTTGAGAATGACTATATAATACTGTCATCAGATTTCAAACAGTGTTTAAAGGGGAAAAAAACGCAGAACACAAATATTGTGTGTATAGGAGAGAGGGAAGAGAGACACACTGTTGCTGTCACGGCTGTTGAAAAAAAATATTCCCGTCTGAAGATGCAGGCATCCGGACTCGAGCGCAAAGGCCCCAACTGCTTGGACGCCCCCAAGAACCCAGCTCCTCTTCTCAATAGCCTGATACGCCTTACTTGGCAGAGGCACATCTTGTTCTGGAGAAGCAGTTTTCAACTACTACTTAAATTCTAAGAAGACACACTCTGCAAATGTTTGATTCAGATCTTTTAAAGTATCATAAAAACTATAAAAACAAAGCACTTTCATGAGCCAACATCAAGTTGTGAAGATACGGCGGAAGTGTGCTGCTAGCTCAGCGAGGCTCTGTGTAGCCCACGGCCTGGGATCGAGAGGGGAAGCCATTAAAAAAAAAATCCCTGCCATTTGCAAACACTTCTCTCTGCCGATCAGGATCCCGCCAATATTAGACAATTAAATCAAAGCATGACTGAACGTCGAGGCTCATAAAGACTGTTAACGTTCACACATTACCCCTCACTTCAAATGCCCGTGTTCAACTAGACAACCTCATCGTCCTCTTACGTTGAATTAAAAAGAGTTGTAAATATAAACCTATAAACAGAGTTTATAACAGGGTTTCAACCTTGGCATTACTGACATTTTGGATCACATTATCTTTTTGTGTTATTCTGCTGTCCTGGGCACGCTGCTTACACCAGCATTCCCGGCTTCTGCCCACCAGCTGCCAGGAACACCCCCGTGGCTGTGGCAATCAGAAATGTCTCCAGACATCCTCAAATGTCCCCCCTGGTGGGCAAACTGCCCCTGGTTGAGAACCACTGCTTAATACTGACCAACGCGGCACTCATCTATCTTCTGTTGCAGGTCTTACCTACTAGTTTAGCGGATTAAGAGAAGTTCTGCTTAGAAATAAACTGGTTTCAAGTATAAAGGTTTCCACTTCGAGATTCTGGATTCTGATCTCGATGCTATACCCCACCAGCTGTTTGCCTTTACCTACCTTTTCCGATCAGCTGCGACCTCACCTGAAAAATGGGACTAAGAACAGGTGCGCTGGATTACATGCGACAAATGATGCTCTTCAAGAGTTCTTAGGAGCTCTTCAAGAAATCAAACCTACTAATGCCATGGTTGCCGGGAAGGGTCCAGGGCCTGGAGGGGCTTACCTGATCTCTGCAGATTCTTTCGATAGCCGCTGAGATTGAGCTGGGTGATGGTCTCGGACACATGCGCGACAGCCACCTGCACGTGCTTTTCGGTGAAGTCGTAACACCAGGACAGGTTCAGCTCATCCAATCTGCACACCAGAGAAATAAGGAAAGCATGAAACCAGGACACAGGAACAAGCTCTAGGAAGCACGGTCTCAAAGCTGCAAAGAAAACCCAAAGCCACAGATTCCTTACCATTTCACGCATAGAACCTCTGCTTCTCTAAGCAGCTACCTCTGCTTACCTGAAACTGCCTTCTCCCCTCCTGACACAAATCCCCCCGCCCTGGTGTGCCCTAGAAAGTTGCCAGGGGATCCGAGATCCGAGATCCAGGGGATGCCAAGTCTTAGTGAGTGATGCCCCCTTCTGGAAATGGAGGGAACACTCTCCTCTCCTCCTGATGGCTCAAACCTCATTGCGGGACTAGATGGAACAGTTCTAGCCGCTTGTTTTCTCTCTCAACCACCCAGGCTGTCAGCAAACAACCACAGAGACTGAACAATCACTCGAGAGGCTTTAAAAATTCGATGGGTTATACCGGGGATTCTCAATAAAGAGACGCTGATGTTGCAAAAGGCCACTTCATCTTATCTGGCTTCTGCTGACTGAGCAAATGAATTCAAAGACAATATCCAATGATTAAGCCACACACCCCATTCCTGACATTGCTGAATACGTGTAGGGTTTTACATTTTTACCTCACGGATAACACTCTTATCCAAAGGCAATCTACTTTGAGCAGAACATTAGAGATACAGGTAGAATGCTAGAGCAGAAAGATCAAGGGATATTAAAAAGGACACACACACACACACACACACACACGAGTCTGTGAGCCACGTCCTCCTTACTTAGTAATATCTGTAACTGTAGCCTTTATTTATATACTGACATTATTACATGATATAAAGATGTTTTTAATGGAGTCACCCAAATTTATGGTATCTGCGTAAGTTAGGTCTACAGATACTACAGGAAAAAAGCCAGGTATAAAGTCAGGTATAAACAGATTAATTTCGATAAACACATTACCAAATTTTTCTTTCTCTCATAGTAAAAAAAAAAAAAAAAGGGGGAGGATTACTACACAAGTCCTCTGCAAACCTAACTGATCTGGCTCCTTAGTTTGAACAGAAAGTTTAGAGGGTAATGGATACTGCGTATCATCAAGAGCTCAGAGTTAGGAATAGCTCAAGAAATAGATCCAATTCCTCGCTCGTGTGGGGGATAATTGTATATTTGCAAAGAGTTCTATAATTAAGTCTCAAATCTTTCCTACCTGGAACAGCTGCTCAGCAAGGTCTTCAGGGCAGATTCGGAGAATCCAGAACACCCAGAAAGATTCAGTCGCACTAAATTTGAGTTTTGCGCAAGATTACTGGAAAAAGAGGAAAATGTCAGAGGAAGACCAATAAGACACTGTTACTCAATTAATAAGCATTCTGAGGAAAGCAGGCTAGAGAAGTCAGTAGATAAGCACGCAGGCCTTCGAGCCAGAAATGAGTTTCAGTTCATGTCTCACTCTCTGTATGACACCAAGCAGAATGCTTTGCCTCAGTTTACTCATCTGTGAAATTGCAGAGTCAGTACCTTCTTGGTACGGTTGTTACGATTAAATTATATAATGTGATAAAGGGCTCAGCACAGTGCCTGGCACTATGTAAGCACACAAGAAACACAAAGAATATAAGTTTTAAATTGAAAAGAGAGTGCTTGAAAAAATATTATTTCTATTTCACCCATAATTAGAATTAGCTTGTAGGCCTACTTCTACTTGTTGCGTCTCTAGGTTCTTCCAATTAAACATCTCTCAAATTTGACCTCTCTACATTCCCAAATGCCTGTGTTAGTGGAACTCCATGATTAAGAGCGAGAGTTCTGGAATCATATTCTATTGTCAAGTTCCAATCTTGGTTCTGCCACCTACAAGCTGTGTGACCTTGGACAAGTTATTCAGCCTCTCTGTGCCTCAGTTTCCATATCTGTAAAAAGGGGAACAGTCAGAACTTACGTCATGGGTGACCTTTGAAGAACTGAGTATATGGCACATAGGAAGTGCTCAATAAACGCTGGTACTTATTATAATTATGATGATGCTGGTTTTTTTTTTACATCAGGTTTCATCATTTCTCACCTGAATGAACACAACAGTATCTTAACTAGTCCAGTTTCTTCCGCATCTGGTTAACACTCCAAGGTGACCAGCAGATTTTATTTCTAAATTTCAACTCTGCATGTTCCCTCCATTCTCAGGACCACTCTCTTTAGCACGCTTCCCTCTTCTGACCCCACCGTGGAGTCCGGACTTCTTACAGCATGGCAGGGGCCCATTACGAGCTGTTCCTCCCCTCCTGGCATCTCCTCAGTGCACCCTGTGCCCTAACAGTTCCCACCTGCTACAGCGTTTAGAACCACACAGGCAGCTCTACCTCGTTGGCTTCTTTACCTCACCACGTGGAGCTCTCCAAGCTGAATACCTTCAATATTCCACATAAGAGTCACTTCCTCTAAGGCTGCCCTCCCTCAATTTAATTAGGTCTCTCTGGGTGACGCCACATATAACAAACACAGTGCACTATAATTATGTCTCTCCCATGAATGAGGCAGGGACCATGGCTTTATTCATTATCCTTGTATGTCTAGAACCTGGCATATGCATATAGGTAGCACGCAAACTTGGGTTGCCTGAATGAGTCCTGCAAAGTACTGCAGAAGCTGGGGCACCCCATGGATATTTTCTGAGTCCATCTGGATATGGACAGAAGGGTACCCCAATTATGTTCAGGGAACAAAGTTAACACACACAAAAACAATGGCGTTTGTCACATGCTCCTGACTGCCACTCACTTGACAATGGGATCCGACAGCTGCAGGCCTTCCAGGCTTAGGTTCTGCAACTTGGAGCACTGCGACAGAATTCCATGGAGGGTAGACACATCGATAACAGAGTTGGACAGATCCATGTGCTGCACACGGAAAGGGCTGAACACAGAGGAGGGGAAAGAGAGGCTCCGTTAAGGTGGCTCACACATGTACCTCCAGATCAAATCCAACTCCATCTCCTCCCCAGATGAGCAGCCAATCACAAACATGACCCTAAATATACATTTCAAGTAGTACAGTTTTGGTCTTAAAATAAATTGCTACTAGATAACTCCCTCCCCTCATTCATTTTAAAATTTAGGATTTTAGGGGGCGCCCGGGTGGCTCAGTCGGTTGAGTCTGCCTTTGGCTCAGGTCATGATCCCAGAGTCCTGGGATTGAGCTCCTCGGGCTCCCGGCTCCGTGGGGGGTCTGGTTCTTCCTCTCCCTCTGCCCCTCCCCCCATGCTTTCTCACGTGTGTGCGCTCTCTCTCAAATAAATAAAGTCTTCAAAAAAATAAATTAATTAAATTCAGGAGGGTTTCTGCCAAGTCAAGATGGTGCTGTCGATATAGCCCCACTTAGGAAATTAATTCGTGGGCGTCATGAGAATGAGTTGAAGCTGGGTGACAAGCAGATTATGCCTACGAATCTTCCTGATAAAGGTGAGTAAATTACTAAAACAGAAAAGACAGTGGAAGAGTAAGCTGTCAAGGGCTAATATTGAGCTACCTGGAGGAAACGCAGGTGTGGAAGTTTCTAATTAACTGGGCCTAGGAGTTTGTTTGAAAGAGAGGGCTGAACCAGAGAAGAGAATCTGAAAGTTCCAGCACAACTGTGGGTGTCTAAGACAGTGTGTCCAAGGACAGTGTGTGGATCAAGAGAAGGCAGCCAGGGACCAGGGACAGAACCCAGAGTAGCAGAGGAAAGCGCACACACGAAGGGGACCCAGAAGGAACAGGCCCGGTAAAAGGATAACCACCAGGGGAGGAGGGGTGCTGCCGTATGGCCATGCAGGGAAGCGGAAAGTACAGAGTGGGGATGTAGGTTTTGTCCTGAACTCTGCTGGCCTTAGCTTATTTTTCTGTTCAGTACCTAGTTATTCCACTCAAGTTTGAGATGGCTCTAAACCATACTGCAAAACTATCAGGAACAGGGAAGTAGTCTTTCAAAATCTTCCACAAAACGAACAAAAAGAGGCCATTTTTGCTCAGGTTGCAAATTTGTCCACCACAGGATCAGATACCCACAGCTTCAAAATCTGAGAAGACTTCTCACACTTCGTCCTCATCAGAAATGGGCAGTGTGGCAAGAGCGAGGCTGCCTTGCGTCTGGTAGTGAGTGCTCCACATGGCTTCTGCCCCTTGGGACCCATGAGGCCCATCCTCTGAGGACCCCACTTGAGAAGCAAAATGTGCATCCCTGACCCCCTGGAAGAGCCCAAGAGTAACCCTGACTTAAAGTGGGAATGGCATCACTGAAACCTGTGACATGTTTCAACACAAAGACCGCACAGCAAAATGCAATTAGCATTCCATTGCCCACACTTGTCATAGGCCGTAAGGCTGGTTACAGGAAAGGAAAAAAAAAAGTTTTCATCTGTTTCCACCTTAAGACTTAGAAACAGCCTTTTCTGGGGATTCTTCTTTTTTACCTGAAATGTTCAACCAATGGTTGATCCATAAATGATCGTGGGCAGCGGAAGGCAACCACCCCTCGAGACAGCAACCGGCCAATCACATCTGGGTGCAGGTTTCTACCTGTGAGGTCTAACGTCTGCCACAGAGACTCGTCAAACCTGGAAAAGAGGGGGTAGTTAGTAAGATGGGGGCACTGGATACCAGAGGGCCCCACCACTGCTACTCAACAAGGAAGCTTTGGCCACTGAATCACCTTGGAGCAGATTCTAAAGGAAGCTTTGGTTTTGAGCTGACTGTACAACTAGCTATGGTATTATTTTTAAGACACAATCGAGTATTTCTTGCTCATCGTGGATAAACTTCCACCTTCAGCTGTACACACACACATCTGTATGTATTTCCTTCATATGGTTCAATGCTATCATTAGCAATATAACGATCTGGAACTAGAGAATAAAATTTTAGTGTTCAATACAATTTGATAATTTTAAAAATGATTGCTCCAAGCATTTAACTAATTAATGAATAGGTAGGTAGGTTCAAAATGGCCTCAACGATCCCAGTTGCTGTTTTGGTAAAGCGTACAGGAGTTACCACAATTACCCTAAGTAACAAGGAAATACAACTAAAAGGAGAAAAGTTAGTGCTACGGCTGATCTTTGCAGATGGGCTTGAACTGAGCAGGTTCACTTACGTGCAGATTTTTTTACAGTACCATAAATGTATTTTTTCTTTCTTATGATTTTGTTAATAACATTTTCTTCTCTCTAGCTTCATTATAAGAGTAAGAGTATATAATACATATAACTTAAAAGATATTGACTGTTTATGCTATGGGTAAGGCTTCCGGTCAACAAGTCTATTAGTAGTTAAGTGGGGAGTTGAAAGTCATATGTGGATTTTTGACTGGGCAGGGGGATCAGTCCTCCTTAACCCCATGTTGTTTAAGGGTCAACTACATTCTTAAGAGATATGACTATCAAATATCTACGAGAAATAAGGAACCCTACAAAGGAGTTCGGGTGTTTTACGATACCCTTTAAGCTTAAAAAAAAAAAAGTATGCGTGGACAGAAATATATGTATATGTATGAACTAATGTGAAAGGAAAAACATTACTTAGATTTTGGATACTGTTTCTAAAGCAAAAATGAAGTACGAAGTACCAAAATGTACTAAACAGTACAATAAGGGAGCTTTAACAGCCACAGATTAATTCAATTTAACAAAAAAAAAAAGAAAGTATGAGATCAAGCACAGGAGGAAACATTTTAAATGCCTGCTAGAGTCGTATTTTTTAATACTGCTTGAAATAAGCAGACCACTGGTTGGGCTCTGGAATAATTCTGTGTAATGAAATTGTCAAGGCATTACGTGACCTCTATTATTAAGAAGGCAGTGCCTCACAGATGCCGGCTATTACTTGTATGACAGTGAGGTGAGGATTCATAGACTCTGCATGAAGAGGTCAGCTGGCTGACAAAGAAAATCACTATGGGGTCACCCGGGAGGGATCAGTGCAACTCCACCACCACTCGGGGTGCACACTCCCGCCCCCTGGGGCTCTTCTAAGCCAGGAGCCCACTCCTAGAAATGCTTGCCGTGTCTTACTGCCCACACAGCCCTGAATGGAGGGGAAGGGGCTCTTGCCATCTCCCAGTGAGAGCCCTAGATACGTGGAGGGAGGAGAGACACAGATGGCCTTCAAGCGCAAAGGATGGCTAGTGATTGGCTGGAGATGACAAGTAGAATTGATGGAAAAAGTTCCAACTGAAAAACAAAGCCTCCCCGCACCTGGCCCGTTACTGCCCCCAGCGCACCAGGACTTGCCATGCGCAGCTCACTGTGCAAACCTGAAGGTGTGCCCCCAAACCAACAAAGGCTCAACCACTATTGGCAGCCATGTGCCGCCTGCTTCCACGAGCCAGGCACTGCACCGGCATCCTCGGATTTCATCCTCATCACTGCCCTGTCTGGAACGTACTGTGACCTCCGTTGTATATATGGGGGGGGGGGCCGAGGCTCAGAAGTGTCAAGTATGTCCCCCGGTCACAGAGTGCTAAGTGGCAGAGACGGGGTTCACAATGAGGTCGAATACCGCTCTCCCTATTGCACTCAGCGCCCAGGCCCTCATGCAGCCCCCCCATAGCCCCCTTCACTTCTAGTGCATCAGATGCAGAGTCAGCATCCAATGAGCGCATGAATACAGAAAGAAGTTTTCTGAGGTGGGTAAGGTTACACCTCCAGGAGACTCCTCCCTTCCACTGTGAAATGAACACCCTAATATTAATAAAAATACGAAGATACCTAGTTTGCTTTCTGCTCCTACATTTTTCCTAGTTTTTAGTTTCACTAGACCCCAATGAATAAATAACTCTCCCCTTCTTCCACACATATACCAAGAGGGGTGAAAAATACTTACGCTAGGTGATACCACCTCTTACAAACACTGGACACCTTTAGGAGTTCAGGGAGGCACAGACAGGAAAAGATCCCTAAGAGCAGCTCATCTGGAAGTGAGTCCCATGAAACACCTTTAAGGGGAAAAAAAAGTGTTTTCTCATCACCGTTCTTTGACCCAATCAAGTCTACCGAGTCTTTTCATGCTCGTCAAAGGTACACAATATTGAACCTAAAAGGGGAATTTATCATGAATCGAATTACTCATCCCACAGTTGTTTTTCTGTTCACTCATGGTCTCTGTACCCAGGGGTAAGCACCACACTTTCTCAGCAAAGGAGAAAAGACAAAACCAAGAATACTTTTTCATACCGTTTTTGTCTTCAGCACCTGCCAGCCAACCTTAGGCAAGGACCACATTAACGGTGGTACACACCAAGTCCCCACCCCTTCAGAGAGCGTTCAATGATGTCTACGGTATGATGCCTCTGGTCACTGAGAAATGCCTTGTTTCTCTCAGAAGTGGATTTGGTGGTGGATTTTTGGAGTAGTGACCTTATCTAAAAGGCAAATGAAGTTTCCTCCTCCTCCTTTCAGATTTACAGAAAGCACTCAGAAGTCAACTGGCCTACCAGTGCAATACCCAAAGGGTGCTTTCCTGTACCTCTCCACTTACTATAGTGCCAGGAAGCACTTTAGGTGTTGGGGAGAGAGCAGGAAATAAGACAAAGCACTTTAGCTTCATGGAGCTTACATTCTGATGGGAGGAAATAATCACACATAAAAAAATAAGTAAATTACATGATATGTAAAAATTGGATTATTGCTATGCAGAAAAATTAAGCAGGCTAAAGGAGAGGATAGGAAGTACAGGGGCCAGTGTTCAAAAACTCAACAAAGGGGTCAAGGAAGGTCTTACTGAGACAGTGATCACTGAGCAAAGGCTCGAACAAAGTGAGGGAGCCAGCCCTGTGAGTACCCAGGGTGTGTTCTAGATACAGGGAACAGCATGTCTGTTTTGAGGAACAGCAAGGCCAGTGTAGAAGAAGAGCGAGGAGAGGGGTGACAGAGGATGATGAGGTAGAGAAGTGAGAGGGGCCGGGTCATGCAGGACTTTCTACATCATGATGAGGACTCTGGCTGTGATGCTCAACATCATGAGGAACTACTAGAGTGTTCTGAGCATAGAAAGTTCTAAAAGCACTGCTCGGACTCCTGTGTTAAAAATAAAAAACTGGAGGGAAAAAAAGGTAGTTACATTAAGGTCAGTTTTGTTTTATAAAAGCAATTTCTAAATAGAATTCTTACGTGTGAGCATACAGAATAACCTACAAGAACAGGACAACAGGACAATGGCCAAGAAGGAAATGAGTACGAAGCAAAGCAGCTGAGTGCTTAGATCAGTTCAGTAACTCGTCTTCCCAGTCTCCCTCTGCCCCCAATCGCTCTTGTACACCAAGCCTAGTGCTAGCCTCTCCCCTCAGTGATGGTTCACTTCACGTGTCAACCTGACTGGGTCAAGGGGTGCTCAGAGGTTTAGTTCAACACTATTCTGGGTGTGTCTGCGAGGGGTTCCTGCATGAGATGAACATTTGAGTCCATCGACTGAGAAATGCAGATTCCCTTCCCCAATGTGAGTGGGTCTCATCCAATCCAAGGTTGATGAGAATGAAAGGCTGATGAAAGGAGAACAGGCTTTGTCCCTGCCTTTGAGCTGGGACATGGATCTCTTCCTGCCTTCAGAGCTGGACTGGAACTTAACCATCTGCTCTCCGGGTTCCCAGGCCTTTGGACTCCGGACATTGGGACTTTTCAGCTTCCCTAACTGGATAAGCCGATTCCTTATAATAAATCTCCCTACGTCCCCTACTTGTTCGGCGTCTCTGGAGATCCCGGATTACTAACACACCATCCCTCCCCATCTAAAAGGTGCCAGCATTTACCGTACAGGTACACCATGCCAGGTTCTGCAGAGAACTTGATGGAGAAAAGCTGCCTCGGGTTAGTATTGTTGGGCATTCTTTCTAAAACAATCAATCCCGTCCGTCAATTAGAGCCTTTCAGTGGTGCCCCCAAATATGTAGCCTGAAGTCCAAACTGCTAGGCATGAAATTCAAAGCTTTCATGTCAGGGCCCCACTCATTTCTCTCGGGTCATTATGTAGATATGTTCCAGCCATGTGGACCTACTTATAATTCTCAGAATGAGTCGTTCTGTGCCACATCTCGGTAGCCCTGTACACACTGTGCCTGCCCCCAACTGCTATTGATTTAAAATCAAGTTGCTATTAAAGCCCTGATGCCTATGGAAGGCTTCCCATGACATCACCAAGAACAAGTCACTTTTTTTTTACCACAATTTTATTATTTACTTACTTATCTGTTTAGCCCCTGCCCCTGCTAGACCCTGAGTTCTAGAGATCAAAAAAATGATTTTTATTTTTAAATAATCTTTGTACTTCCATGAACTAGCTCAACGTCTGATACATTCGTCTATGAGTATATTTATTGAACATGTAGGTATATGCAGGTGTCTGTTCTACAAAGATGCATAAGAGATGGCCAGCTCAGAGTCTGAGAAACAAACAGGAAATTTCAGTAAAGTATCATAATGGGCTGCTACAGGGTTCATGGTGCTGTGCTGGGTGTGGTGGTAGAGCAGTGATCAGGGAAGCCTTCCTGGAGGAAGTGGCCTCTACTGAAAAATGAGGAGATACGCAGCTGCTCAATGAATGCCTACCCACCCTCTCTGGAAGACAAAATGAATCACTGTAGCCCTGACACGAGGGGTACAGATGAAGGCAGATCATCCCTGCTGACCCTGGACCACGACCTGGGGAGGCAAGTTGGAGAGGACCCGGAAGCTTCTCCGTGTGGCAGCAACCCTCCATCACCACAAGGCTCCTCCAAGCTCAGCATGGACAGAGGACGGAGGCTCTCAAACAGGGCTCCCACTCTGCCTCCCAGATTGGAAAAAAGCTGACAGTGCTGTTTTCCTTCCATTAATTCTTCTTAACTCCCTGACCTCTGTTGCCTCTTGCCCTGTAGATCAGATTCTAGCAGTTCATTTGGCAAAAGAGGACACACTTAGTTATTCTGAATCTAGTAGGCTGAGACTGCACTACGGCCCATCGGCTCATCGGGACACCAGGTGCTGCCGGCCTCCCCGAGTGTAAGAATGCAGGAACGCACCTCTGGTGCCCAAGTTCACAGAGCTTGGGCATGTTACTTAATGCCTCGGGCTTGGTTTCCTCATCTGCGGGAACTCGAATAAAGGGATTTATTTTGCAAAGTAGTTCCCTATGAAGACTAGATAATGTAAGGGAAAAGATCATGCAGCAAACTTCCTTTCTCCTTCTTGACTGTTTTTCTCCTCTCTCCATTCAATCCATGCCTTTGCCTTTTGTGAGGACCTTTTCTTTTCAATGCTGTTTGGAATTTTCACCTGTTTGAAAACACACCAGGTTTTAATAGGGTTTGGACAAGGGCTATATCGTGTGATTTACCGAGAGCCCCAAACAGCGCTCTAAGTTTGGGATCCCCAGAAGCAGAGCTGGAAGACCTGAATTCAAACAGTTGATTTGGTAAGTAATCCCAGGAAGAACTGGAAAGTGAAGAGATATGGAAGGGAAGGAAGCCAGTGCGGGGTATGTTAATAAGCAGGTTATCGCCACGGCCAAGGGCAGTTCAAGTCTGCTGGGGACTCCAAGGAGACCCTACAGCTCCTGCCCTAGAGCTGTCCCAGCTGAGGGCACGGGGGCTGGGGTATTAATCCACCAACGCCTGTCAGTCACTGGGTGGGGGCTTCAGGGAGTGGGACAGGCATGTTAACTCCCCACATGCCTGCCCAGAGAGGTGTCAAGCAGGCACATCTGCATGCAGGAGAAAGCCTTTGGCATATAAAGGAGTGCTGAGCTCCAAGGGGCTCTCGATGGGCCGCCACGCATCCACTAAAGACGGTGGGAAAGGAAATTAGGGAGACTTCTTGTGAAGGGCAGGGCGGAAGAAATAAATTAATGAACTTAGTGTTTATTTTATTGGGAACACATAAGAAATCAGAAACAACTGAAACAATATGAGCTAGGTAATGATAAGGCTCGAAGGAAAACTAGTCAGAGCAACGAAGGCAGAGGTTCGCAGAGGACACCGAAGCTGGGCACTGAAGCCAGGCCAGTAATACTACTAGAACGAGGAGGGCCTTGCACTGCAGCTTCTACCTTCATCTGTCGAACTCCTACTCATTCATCCTTCGGATCTCAGCTTAACCGTCACCCTCCCGGAGGAGCACTCCCAGGTCACCATCGCAGCCCCCAGACCCAGACTGCCATACCCAGTACACAGCGCTATACCCGGCCCCTAGGCAATCAATAAATCTTTGCTGGATGCATTATACCTTTTACTTTCCCTCATGCCATTTGTGAATGTGCTGATTTTGTATCTGTGTGACTGGTTAACCTCTGCTAGCCAAGTAACTAGTACACACCCAGTGCCTAGGGGAGGGCCTGGCAATGAATATCAGAAAGTGCTCAGCTGGTATTTCACAAAGGAATGACTGACACCCAAAGGAAGTATGCTGGCTTTCATCTAGAGACAGGCAAGACTGCTGCTGCTTCTTAAGACCAGTTAGGCTCCTCCTCATCTGTAAAATGATAAGGCTGGCCTATGGCCCCGCTTCAACAAACATTCCTGGGTGCCTAATAAACGCTGCAGTGCTGGGAGCTACATGTAAGCCACAGTCCCTGCCCAACAGCCCCACCTGGGAGACAAACTAATTAACAAACACATAACCTCGCATTTAAAAACTGCCATTTACTGAAAGCATTTATTCAAGCACACGGACTAGAAACGCAGCAACCCTGTGTATTCAGTATGTGTCATTTTACCCACGAGGAAATTGGTCTCAGCAGAGTTAAGTAACCTCAACAAGGTGATATTAACTATGGGGCGGTAGAGCCGGGAGGCAAAGTTGGGGCTGCCCTGTCTGAGCATGCCAAAAGCCCACGCCCTAAGGTGCAGGTGTAGACACAAGAGGTGGATGTTTGGAGGCTGGTCAGGTAGCGGAGGGCACTGTACCTGCAAAGGAATGACACGGCACTGTTGGGTGTCCAGGGAATGAGGCTGGAGACCAAAACCCA